TGGATACTCTTAAGCATGGTGATGGGTTTCCTTCATGTTTTAGAAACCTGGCTGATCCCGCAAAAAATCAACTGAAATAATCCATTACCATGCCTAAGTTATGGATTGTTCTGCAGATTTTAAAACTCTGTAAATTCAATAAGGTTCTTGAAAATATTTAGACATCTCCCTAATTTCTGCTGAATTAAGATAGTATTCCCTAACCATCATGAAGTCAGCATGCTGTGGCTGGTTTCAGGCACAACATTTGTGACAGAATCATTGCGGGGAGGGAGGGTCATCTCTGGGACCAGTCAGGAGATTAAGATATTGATGGATTGCATTTTTTAGCAGTGTATTAACTAACACATCAAAGGTTGCAATTTTCACCCCATCGATCATGTTAGAAAAGCTGATATGTATTTAATCATGTGAGTAAACAGCTTGATCCTGTTGTGGATGGTAAATTTTCATTTGGATCTGAATTGATCTGACATGGATGAAGGGGGACCTGCCTCAGAACAATTTCTGATTTTCACTTACTTGGTGAGATGTGTTCAATTGTGGCAACACAGTAGCCAGATCATGCACTATGATGAACCTATTACTATTTCAAGAATTCAATGCTGATTCAGAGATCTTATAACTTATAACTGGAGTTCAGAATAAAACAGACTGGATTCTTGAACCCATGCTCAGCTCTAAGTTCCTTAAATTATTAACCTTCAATAATCTGAATAATAATAATAATCCTTGCATTTGATATGGCGCCTTATCATGTTGTCGTCGACGTCTCAAAGTGCTTTGTGGGATACACTGTAAAGTGTAGTGACTGTGTATTTTGTGGGGGAAACGCGGCAGCCAATTGTGCACAGCAGTGTCCCAGAAACAATCGTAGATTGAGTGACAATATTATTATCATTATTATTTTATTGAATTTTTGAAGGAATTATTGCCCCTAGAAAAGCAATCCGTCAATTGACTAACAACTAGGTTCCTACTTACTACTAGGCAAACAGAGGCGTGTGGAGTAAAGAAACTTGTCCAGCGTTTCGCCCTGAATGTTTAGAATACCAATTTTATGGAATTGAGAGCTCCTAAATTTGTAATGAAAGACAGCAAAAGCATTTTCTATTCTTGATGGGTACATGTAGTTTGACCTGTCAATTTCATATTTAAATGGTCCTGTTGTCTTTGATCCTTTACATTAGAACATATAGGAACAGGACTAGGCCACTTGGCCAGTTGAGCCTTTCTCCCTATTTCATGAGATTGTACCAGATCTTTTAATCCCATTTCCCGGTATTTTTAATACCCTTTCTAGCAATCTATTAGTAATCTCACTACACACAAGTCTTGTTATATGCTATTCATCCTGCTGTATTAAGCAGAGCTCCAATGTAACCACATGCAGGGGAGAGTAAACGTTCAAATATTTTTTATCCATTTGTGTAGGTCAGAGTAGAGACAAACCATGCTGATAATAAGATCGGGATCACAGATATAAAGGCCAATATCATTAAAATTTTAGCACCATTCACATCTTTTGAGAGTTTAAAAACTTTTCTATTTTGCCATAGCTAGAGGTCTTGTCTTAGTACATGTCTTAGTATATTCAACAGTCTTATTAAATTCTGTCATTTGCAAGTCTTAAATTCTGCAGAGCAATCCATAAATTCAGCATCATACCTGAGAAAAAAAATTTTTTAATCCTTGCATTTGTATTTCAGTATTTCAGTTCATTACGCAAGTCAATGTCCAAAGCAATGATATAGCAAATGTATTGACTGCAATTTTGTACATAGTGTATACATAATGTTCTCTGATGTCCTTCACATTACCTATGAGGCAGACTAGTATGATTATTGCTATCATGCTACAGCATTTAGTCCTGGATCATTAGAACAAATTTTCCTCCTTTTCCGCTAAGTCTCCAGTTGTCAGATCTGGTAAGTGATTTGCCAATATGCTCGAATGTACTGTTGAAATATTGGATAATAATTTTTAAAGTTATGTAAACAGAGGAGCCTGAAATAAATAAACTTTGATCACTTGCTCAGCCAGTGAAGACAATCAATGCCCTGCACATAATTTCTATTTGATCAGCAATGTATCTGATATGTATGGTAAGCAATCACCTTATCTAAGAGTATTCAAACAAGTGGGTTCCACTCATGTACGCCCCCTACCCATGGAAGTCTTTGGAATAGAATGCACACTCTCTCTCTGGAGGATGCATACTGATTACCTAATTCCAGAGGGTATTGGGTGCAGGTTGATGAGAGCCAAGGTTTAGGGACTCTTGGAGATTAACCAGCTAAAACTGCATAGTTTGCTACTGAGATTACTGTCTAGAAAGCTACTTGTTTTAGGACCACCTTACCCCTGTAGGGTTTTGGCTTGCAGGAGCTGAGTGGGAAGAATCCTTGCTCCCAGTTTCTGGTCTGCCTCTCCAGATCCTGCTGATGAGCCAGGCTGGCTGATCTGTCGTCAGCAGTGCTCTGGTGTACTGTGGAACTGTCTAACTCAGAAATTAGACTTCTGAGACCACCGCAGAGGATTGACTTGATTCCGACATTCCATTTTCGAGTATGTCACCTTGGAACCTGCACTAAAATGTCAAATGCAAGGACTATTATTATTAAAATATGAACTTCGCAATTTATCTTAGTTAAGCAATACTGCACAAGCATCGCCCAAGAATGCCTTTAACACAGTCTTCACATACATAATTAGCTTTTGTTTTCACTCTGGTTTCCGAGGAATTTGGATACGGTGCATTTGGCTCACTGTGAACCGTTCTGCTGTTAGCACCATCTCCCGGCATTTTGATGCTCTTTACATGCACCTACACTTTTGCTAAAACAAGCAACATAGCAAGAATTTTTTGTTGCATTCTCCTGCTGGGATTTTGTGGGCAAATTCCACTTATACATTATGAAGGTTGCACAATCGATTGGTTTCATTGCATCTTTTATAGTCAACTTTAGGTCTGAGCATCAACCTCAATCAATTTTCACAGCAGTCCCCTTTTGTATGTGCACTGTTTATTTCCCCAAATGCTGTAATAGTATAGGGAGACACTTAGTTCCGCACTAGGAGTACTTTCTCCTGACTTGTGCTGCATGCTAGAATTGCTTGGCAAAAACTTGCAATTGTAAAGTGCAGGAGAAAGTCTCTGAAAGGTAAGGGCCTCTGGGTCTTGGCATTAAATCTTATAATGCTCTGACATTATCTGAGAGAAGCATGGTGTTGTGCAACTAAGTGCTGCAGCATCATTTGTATTTTACCATGCCTGTAAGAGTCAGGTTCTGCAAGATATTTATTCCAATACCCTGCAGGAGGTAACATTAATATTAGAAGACAATGCTGACGTCTTAATATCAGTTTTAATCTGCATTGATCTTAATAGTGTCTTTGATTTTGAAAGATATATTCAATATTATCCACAAATAATAAATGGCAAGTTCCTTATTTTCTGGTACTGGATGTGGCTAGTGGCATTAATACTATTACCTTGTGGAGTACAACATGCGATAGTGACATTGTGTTATGTTAACTGGTGCTACAGAGATACTGATATAAGAAGGATATTCAGGAGTGAGTTAGTCACTGGTCTGAGGGAATCACTAGGCATGAGGATATGAGTCCAATTGTCCAATGGGATTTAGCTATTTACTTATAGAATCTGTTGGCAAGCATTCATTTCTTTGTCAGTGGCCATGGCCAATTAATTTGGTGTGAATTCTCTCTATATAATAACAATAATATCCTTGCATTTGATATAGCACCTTATTATTCATTGAGATGTCTCAAAGTGCTTCACAGAATATATATTGAAAAGTGGATTGACTGCGTATTTTGGGGGCGAAATGCGACAGCTAATTGTGCACAGGAGTGTCATAAGAATATGAGAACATAAGAATATGCTGGGCGAAAATCCGAGGTCCATCCAGTTCATCTTGACATGTCAGGTCCCAAACTATATATCGTATCCCAAGATATTATTTCCTTATAGAAATGTATCTAATTTGTTGCTGAAAGAATCAAAATTTTCTGCTTTCACCGTCTACTCACTCACTGAAAAAGTGTTTCTGCAGATTTGTTTTGAATTTACCCCCCTTCAATCGCAGGCCGTGTCCTCTGGTTCTATTGTTCAGTACAAGATAAAACAGCTTATTGTGGTCTACATTATCAAGTCCCTTTAGAATCTAAAGACTGTAATCATATCACCCCTCAACATTTTTTCCAGTGTGAACATGCCCAATTTCCCTAATCTCTCCTCATAGTCTAGTCCCTCCATCCCCTCAATCATTTTGGTTGCCCAACTCTGTATCCTCTCAATCGCTGCAATATTCTTTTTGTACTGCGGTGACCAGAACTGCACACAGTATTCCAAGTGCGATTGCACCAGTGATTTATAAAGTTGCAGATTACACCAGTATTTCGGCTCAATATTGCCCTTTTAATACAATCCAGTCTCCAGTTTGCCTTACCTACTGCTACCGAGCACTGTTTGTGTCCACAAATAGTCGTGGATTGAATGATTTTTTTTGAGGGACTATGCTGGCAGTGGGGCCCTTGTCCCTGTGAGCTAGCACTGTTTGCTTTCAGACCTGTAGATACCTGTAATATGATATATGAGGTCCAATATCTTTACTCAGAGGGTAATCAATGATTGGTTTCCAGGAAGGGTGGATGAGGCCAAGACATTGGACTAATTTAAAAAGCAAATTGATGCTGTGATGGAGGTAGGGGTGGGGCGGGGGGTGTTCTGAAAGGAAAAGGTTGGATGGGCCAAAAGACTTTCTTCATCCAAACCAATTTTGTGAAAAAAAACTCATGGACAAATGACTTGAGGCTAAAATTATGAGAAATATCGGGCTTTATGTTAAATTTCAATATTTATTGTGGTAGGAATGTGGTTGTCTCCATAAGGGTTGCAGTTGTGACTGGTTATCTTTATATTTATTCTTTTAAAAAAACTCATACGTGACTTTTTTTATTTCTTTTAATCCTAGGTTACTTGTGTTAAAGGAAATAATCCAGAAAAATCAGAACTTCTAAAAACTGGGGACCCTAAGGCTACACAAAAGCACATATGGACAGAAAGCAGCAAAGATCTGTCTATTAGCCGCCTGATTTCACAGACATTATCAGGCAAAGAGAATACTACTGCTGTGGACCTACACTATGATACTCCTGTACCATACTCTGACCAGGATATATGGGAATGGTTACGGAATGCCTCGGACCAGCAGGAGCCCCGTCCTCGACCTAAGAGACGACCTATAGTCAAAACAGGGAAGTTTAAGAAAATGTTTGGCTGGGGAGACTTCCATTCCAACATCAAAACCGTCAAGCTAAACCTATTGATCACTGGCAAAATAGTAGATCATGGGAATGGTACCTTCAGTGTCTACTTCCGACATAATTCCACTGGGCAGGGGAATGTATCTGTCAGCCTGGTGCCCCCTACAAAAATTGTGGAGTTTGACTTGGCTCAACAGTCAGTGATTGACGCCAAAGATTCAAAGACATTTAACTGCCGCATTGAATACGAGAAAGTGGACAAGGCGAAGAAGACGACACTTTGCAACTACGATCCATCAAAAACTTGCTACCAGGAGCAGACTCAAAGCCACGTGTCATGGCTCTGCTCCAAACCCTTTAAAGTCATATGTATTTATATTTCATTTTACAGTACAGATTATAAACTAGTGCAGAAAGTGTGTCCAGATTACAATTACCACAGTGACACTCCTTATTTCCCCTCTGGCTGAGGGTGAGGTGGTTGAAATCTGAGAAAAGGGTTATTGTAATTATGTTATTGTAATGAATTCTATATCCTAGTCTTCATTTGTATGAATGGTTTGTACTGTATATAGTTTATCCAGTGTTATTTGAGCTACCTATGAACATTATCTTGTAACTGTCTCTCTGCTTGTTTATGGTTTAAAGAACAAATGAAATGAAGAATAACGTTTTATTTGTGTAGCTGTTCTAGCTTACAACAAACTCATGTACAAACCAATTATTGAGATTAATGTACCTGGTGAGCTGACTATTGGAAGAACAATTTAAGAGGTAGACATATACCATATTACTCATCATCTGTATTAAAGTATTTTATTTCTGGAAATATATGTAAATAGGAATAAAATACTGAAAGATTTCAGTTTGAAAATTTGGATATACTCCAATTATATCACTTTAATAATTATCACAGCCTTTTCCAAGGAGTTTTATTTTCAGGGATGAATGTTGAGACACAGGGACATCCAATCCAGGACGAGATCCAAATGTAAGTTGTGTACTCTGAAACAAACACAAATTTCCATTCAGAACAAACATTTAGCATCAATGTTACGGCAGATGCAGCTATTTATCCACAGAATTGTAAAATGATCATTTCACCCACAAAATACACACAGCCACCTCACTTTACAGTAAAGTGATAAAGCGTCGTATCAGTTGTAAGGATTCTAAATAATATTTACAGTATTTATTTCTGTGGTAAATGATTGTTGCCCAATGACACTATGGCAGCTATTGTCATATTGTCACCACCAAAGTTGACCATCATGAATCCAGCTGTGTTTTCCAAGGTAATTGCATTCTCAGAACACCTCAAAACAAATCGTAAAAGTGCAGTACACAATCCCCAATCAATGCTTTGAGGTCCAGGCCTTCATTTATAGTTGCAGATCCATATCAACTTTATGTAGACATTGCAGACTTGCAAATTTTTAAGTCTTGACATGGGTTGATTCATCATTGATCTGTTCTCTTTGAGCAGGATATCTTCCACTCAATTATTCATGGTTGTAAAAACATGCTAAAAAATACAATAGCCAGGTGAGATGGGAGAAAAGAATGATTCAGAGCCTTTACAATCGTTCTATACGATTGTTAATTTCAAGGGAAAAGTTGGATGAATCTAAAAAAGTTATTTAATGCTGAATTTCTATTTAATCAATTTTAGAATGGCCAGATACATAAGAATGAATGTGCCAATAAGAGAGAAACCTCTGTTCAAATTATGCCATCACAAATGGCTATGAAACAGTGTCACTTTACACATTTGGTATAATTTACACATTGGGTATAAATTACACATTCGGTATAATTTGTAAGAGTCGTTAATTGCTTTGCAACTGGTGTTCTTGCACTTGTTCGGAAGTGTTGGAAATTGAGCTGCTGGAACTTTGCACTGACATGGATCTTGTCTCTGCCACTGTGAAGCTAAAAGAGGATCCCACTGCCCACAGATCAGCATCACCAGACACCAGAGTGGAATTCCAATGGGTCAGACTTTGACACATCCAGTTAACTGAAGAAGAGAAATAAATTAACTTGCGCCTCTTAAAAATTAGACTCCAATGTGTTATCATTTTAATGGTGATCAAATAATTGATCTTGAGCACAATAGTAAGACAAATGAGAACAAACTACAACTTAATATTCCGATATTTTTAAAAATGACCCTTTTTATTCTGCATATTTTCCCTGCATTCAGTGATGTAATTGGACAAATCCTATGAGTTTATGCTCTGCATATGACAAGCTAGTCAAATGGCTTTGTGATTACATTGATGCCAATACCAGCTGTGGCAGAACGCTTCTAGTCCTCAATGACAGTTCTGAGGAGATGGCAAGGTTGAGGGAACGGAGAAGACACAGGGTAATGACTTGCAAACACACTTTCACAATATACAAATATTTTAATAAATGATTTTTTTAAAATGCATTTATCTTGACCTCAATTCAACAAGACAACAACAACAAGATTCCATTTATAAAGCGCCTTTCACGTCAGGAGGACGTCCCAAGGCACTGCACAGTTGGGTCATGACCCGAGCAGGGGGGAAATGGTCAGGGTGAGGGGAGGGAAGGGAGGGAGCGAGGAGGGGGGAAATGGTCAGGGTGAGGGGAGGGATGGGAGGGAGCGAGAAGGGGGAAGAGAGTCGAGAGGGGAGCTGAAGGCACGGTCAAAGAGAATATTTGAATTCAATATTCAAAGCTGCTAGAATCTCCTCATAACCAGTATAAAACAACTTTATAACTTCTGTTAGTAAGGTGAGATCATCACAATAGCATTTTGATATTCAGAACACATAAGGCTTGTTAGGTTGGAAACTAATGTATAATATAACAGCAAGTGAAAGCCTTTGCTGGTTGATTTCTAAATGGGAGGTTATTAGTGAATGTAGAAACTGGAGAATTCAATCAAAATAGCAAATGACAAGCCACGGAAATAATGCTTTAAAAAAAGTGAAAATGTTTTTGGTGCTGTACATTGTTCATGATAGCATTACAGAGGCTCAAATATTCTCATGGTCTTAGCCTTCAGACCATTGTTTTAAAACTGAAGAACATTTCCCCAATATTAGAAATGTCTTAAATTCATTCTTAATTTGGAAGACTGTTCTTTTTGAGAACTGCAAATTAAGTCTGAATTTCAGAAGTTACCAAACTTCTGTATAATCTTACATTGTAAAACTAGAAAAATTGGGGGATTCAAAATTGTTTTAAAATAATAACCAAATGCTTTCCGTGATATAAAATGTTGTGACTGTGTATTTTGTAGGCAGGCATGTTTAAATTGAAACAATGGCAGAGGAATCCACTACTTATTCTTGGTAGTGAAGATCTCATTTAATGTAGATTCACTGCACAAGCATTTTTGAACTTAAAACATTATGGGAGTAGAATTTCTTGAAACATGTAAACATTGAATGACTAAATGTTTCTTTTTCCCCAGTATAACATCGGGAGTCTTTAATTACATGTCAGTTATTTTTTCTAACCCGTTAATTTGCTTCCATAGAAGATAATGATGCAGAAGATGTTTGAACCTGCAGTTATCTTGCAGATGGTGAGTAAGTGATGATAATTAACTTGAAATATAAATTAATGCAAAATCTAAGTCTGTTGTAATTTTCTGTAATTGTTTTATTTATAGAAGTAACTCAATAGCAGGAAAATGTCTGAAATATAAATGTTATATGCAATTTATTTTGGTCGACTGGATGTCTGACACATACAGAAACCCGTCACCATGCTTAAGAGTATCAAAAGCAAACTGAGATTTCCATGCATCTCCACCTACACATGGAAATCTCAGAGATAGATTGTTGAAATGAAATGCACACTCTCTCCCTGTAGGGATGCATCCCGCTTACCTAATTCTGGAAAGTATTAGGCCTACATTGGCAAGAATGTGTGTGTGTGTTGGGGTATTGCTGGAGTCTAACCAGCTAAAACCACATACAACAGTAATATACTATACTACAATTTCTCACAAAATAATAGATGTTCCAGGGTGCACTGATTGTATGGAGGAAGCGGGAAGCAAAGACTGCTCAACCACACAAATGCACTCAGCCCACTGACCAGTGTGGTGCAGGGAGGAGCAATTTCTCTACAATTGTTTGTTTCCTCCACTTATACTAGAGAAAATGTCCAACATGGTGTGAAACCTCATCTGCCGGGTAGTTGTCACCAGCCACCATTTTTCAAATCCCTATTTCCACAATTAAAAACTGGTCATAATTTAAATGCTAGTGAACCACAGACTCACCGGTTATTAAAATTATGGTTTGTGGCTGTTGAAAGAAAACTTGTAATACTTTAACTTATAAACACTTAATAGCTCTCCTCTGCATTTGACAGTGGATCTGCTTGTAATTAAATTTCATTGCGATTATGGGCCTCTGGAAAGGTCCATTGTAGCTGCTATTTGGAAACTGCAAAGATGAAATGGTGATTAGTCTCATTCAGAACGGCATTAAGCTAATGAATATAGTTTTCATTTAGCATATCATTTAGTGATTTACTCAGTTTGGTAAAATTAGTGATATCAAAAGTGTTAATGCTTTACATTCTTAACTGGTACTCTTGTCTGCGTTACTATTTTGTTTTTTTTGGAGATTCAAATGAGCTAAAAATTAACTATTCATTCTAACCTCCAAATTACTGACAAAGCATTTGGCCTTGCAATTTAATCTTCCACCATGGTATAGTAACAACCAGGCTTGTGCTAACAGTGCAGGGAACGTTGCATCATCTAAAATCAGATTTTAACCTTGTAACAAGCAATTGAGATGATTCTTTGGAAATCCACTGCCGGACAGACTCTGGATTCTAAATGTAAATATTACAGGTATTTTTGAGGAGCTCAGTCAGGATTTTGAGTGTTTATCTTTTACATTTTCTGGTGTGCCTCCATGCAGAGATATTACAACATGCAAATGAAATAGTTGTATGGAGCAAATAATGACTCTGTCACAAGTCAAGGCTCCCTTAATCGGGTTTTGCCACCTTAATAATTCAATAATTAAAAATGATCATTATTTTACATTTACAATATGGAATTATCACAAAGCTTCAAAAATGCTTTTGTACCCTTAAATAGTCCACCACCTTGGATTTACAATTTCCTGTTTGTCAGGTATTTGTAACACAAGGAAAGGAAGATGAGTTAGAATAACGAATAATACAAGGAGGTGTGTTTTTTAAGCAGTGAGAATGTTGGAAGAAGGAAGATTGACAAAAGCTCCGTATATGAGCAAATTCTACTGTAATGCTTTGCCAAAATGAAAGACTAGTTGCAGTATAGATTTAGCAAATATAGATTTTACAATCCCATGCTTGTTATGCTTATTTCACTGTGTGGGGCTGTTACAGCTGATCCACTCCATGTCATCCATCAACAACAGCGATGTGCATTTGTATACCAAGGTTCTGGTAGGATAATGTCTTGGAGCGTTGTAGAGTGGCAGGGTTAGACACCAAGTAAGGAATAAAGGGGCGGTGACCACAGGCACGGTCGAAGAAGTAGGTGTCCTGGTGGGATTTAAACAACACCAACAAATTTAAAAATAAGATAAAAAGGGATAAAGTGGAGGGATTGAGGCAGGGAGTTACAGCGAGGGCAGAGTGGCTAAAGGCAAGTCCACTGATGATGGTGCAGAAAGGTTGGGGAATGAGCAGTAGAATACAAAAATATAAGAAAGTTAACTTTAGTGGAGGCTGGAGATGAGAGGAGGATCACAAATCAGATGACGGTTCATTTTCTTGTA